GGCGTGGTCACAGGAGCAAAAGAACCATGCATGTTCCATTCCATCTCTTACCACAACATAAGATTCAGTCTGAGATAGTAGGAACTGCCGATGCTGGAATCTGAGATAATAAGGTGTGGAGCTGGATGAACACAGCAGGCCAGGCAGCATCAGAGGAGCAGGAAAGCTGACATTTCGGGTCTGGACCCTTCTTCAGAAATATCTCATGTTCCTAAAAGTATCACACTCAGGAGTTAGTCCAAGCATGAACATTGCTGCAGTAACTTGATACCTTTTACATATTACTAAGCAACATTTGAGAAAAGGAACAATGTTCTATTCTTCACAATGTCATTAATAAAGACGTTACATTTTCACACCATCTTTACAACCTTCTACAATTAGAGGAAAAAAATCTATTTAAGTATATTAACGTAAATTAAATTATGCCATAAAGTACCATTACATTTTGTCTAAAAATGAGCACAAACATGCTTGACTACTCAAAGGAATAAATCATGAGAAATAGTTGGAATCTGCAAAGTTCTAAATAATTATAGGATTTCAATGTTCTGTGGATTGGTCTGTTGTGAAAGCTCAGTATGTCCTCAACAAACATAATCAATCCATTACTATAACCAGAAAGCAATATGTAGATCAACCCACAAATATAATTTTATAGCTGGTGTGTGTAAGCAGCATCTGCCCTATAATGTAAAAAAGCTCTGGCATGATAGGCAATGCATGCAACTTAACATCTGATTTACACGTTGTCAACAGGTTAAAAAATCTCATCTCCATTTCACTGAATTTCAGATGAAATGCCAAAATGAGGCCCTGTAGGCATAAAAGTTCCTATAACACATTTCAGCGAAATGGAGAGGTGTTATCTGCATTGTTCTAGGTCATAATTATCTGTCAAGTCTAACTGTATCTCTTCAGGTTCAATAGTTTCCAAAACTATTTTTAACTGGGATGCAAGTAGCCTCTCACATCTCGCACACAGTAGACACCAAAACTGCTAACTCCACAAAGCAAAATGTACCAGAAATTCTAGGAATTACATTTTGCTTTTGAAAGTGGCATTAGGTATAATGTCTACCAATCTCCCTGACACACACTCAAGTGCCAATATGAGAATTGTTGTCTGTGCTTTGAACACTTTGACCAGCTTATGTATTAAAGTATTTTATCCAATTGCTGTTGTCAGTAAGGTGGACAAAGGACGCAGAATTCGGTTTGTGGTTCAATTCAACTTCCCTATCAAAGTATTCCTGATTAAAACATTATGTGAGCATTTCCCAAATTCCCACAATATTTACTCTTTATCTAGCTCTATTCTTCTGGGAAAGGATATTACCTGCAATGATCCATGTGTTTGAGCTGGGTTGTTGGAATCTCCTTCTCACTTGTATGAAGGCGGGTCTTACAGGTCAGGGCAGGTCTTCTCCTGGGTCTTCGTGGACTGCTGCATTCTTCTGCCATGAGTCTTGCTACAGTCTTCCCTGCGAATCTTTGCTGAGTCTTCACTGAAAGGATGGTTCCCAGGTATGTGTTTTTATCCCCGCCTCTCCCTAGACCTTTCAGAAGGTTCTGCGGGCTTTGACCAATGGAGTCATTAGCTGAGTTCAAATCATCCAATGGGGTCACAATCTGTCGTACCAGGAGGCACATCATTCTGGCAGTCAAGATGCCAAAATGTCCAAAACGCAACCTTCAGGTTGCTGGTAACTAATTCCCTTTGAACCTTTGTAAGCTCTTCAATGTTGATTTCTACTGTTCTCTGTACTGTTAGGTCCTGGCTGCTGTTTAATTTAGTTTGGTCAATTTTCTGTCAGTCCTGATTTCTCTGGCTGACGGTCAATTTAGAATGAACAATTTTGAGCCCAAGGTCACTTGACCACCGAATCATTTACATTACTGGTGTAGGCACCAGCCGTTCTGGTTAATATGGTTATGGATTCCATTTTCTATTATTCTATTCTTTCAGAATCTCAAACCCAAATTAATAAAAGCAAACACAGTGTGGAGCTGGAGGAACACAGCAGGCCAGGCAGCATCAGAGGAGCAGGAAAGTTGGTGTTTCGGGTCGGGACCCTTCTGCAGAAGAATCTTTACTGAGTCTAAGTAATTCACTGATTATGAAGGTATAGTACCAGAATTACATCTATAATTTTTGTGAAAAATGTTCATCAATTTATTCTTTACAAAAACATGAAAAATTGGCACCCCAACCTCTCGTAGTTCATCGAATATGAAAGCGAAATAAACGAGATGAGATTAAAAACGAAAAATAATTGCAAATAAGGAGAGGAAATGCAAGTCATTGTGAGATCACTTCTTTAAAGCATACAGTGGATGTTAAGATATAGGTTCAATTTATCCCTAATTTTGAGTTGTAAGCTCCTTTGACCCTCGTTTGTTTTGTAAGTCAATTGTACATGAATTAACATCAATAGAACAATAATTTTCACTTTTATTGTTCCCTTTTGGGTAGAAAACATCTAAATGCACTTTGCAGAGGAGAAATAGATGCTGAGCAGTAATAAAACTGCTGAAAGGATGATTGAGATCAGAACAAAAAAAAGTGGTGTGTCAGGACCATTAACAGATAGCTGGGTCTAAGACATCATTGCAGAGTTCTTCAAGATAATATCCTAGACGCAACCATCTTCAGCTGCCCCATCAAGGGCCTTCTCTCTATTATAAGGTCAGAAATCAGATGTTCATTGATAAATGAAGAGATGCATGTCTAAATACAGAACTTGGCCCTTCCAAAACTTTCAATCCTGCCTTCACCTCCCTGCTATGGAGCTGAGTTATCATATCTCAGCAGCAACCAGCACTCGTGAAGATGCTGCTGAGCAACCGCATGCTCTTAGGGACCTTAACACTAAGGATAAAATCCTGGTTGATAATTGCCAATTGACACATGCACCACATAAGCCTTGAACTCACAACCTTTTGGCACAATGCGGACAACATTATTAACTGTGCCATGGCTGATACAGACTATCTATAGCACCTCATCAAGATATCTTCAAGCTGCCAGAAGACAACTTCAACCACTGAGAAGAAACAGGGCAGCAGCCACTGGAAACATTGCTAACTGCAAGTTTCCTCACACATCCCCATTCTTCTTCATTGAATCAAAACCCCGGAACTCATTTGTTAACAACACTGTTGGAACGCTTCTGTCAGATTGATTGCGGTGGATCAGTTTGCTGGCCCACAATTATCATCCCTGAGCAGGACCAAGGACAGGGTGCACACTGGGGCTGAATAACCAGGCCTTGAGGCTCTGGGGGCCCACTGTACAGTGTCTGGGGAACACGAGTGAAGCCAGGGACCTGGACCAGGAACAGCCTTGGCAAGTATTTTCTATCCCAGTGTCCCTACCTCTAAGCCAGAAAGCCCTGGTCCAAGCCCCAACTGATCCAGAGGTGTGTCATAACATGTCTAGACAGGTTGATTACAATAGTGAAAACTCAGATAGGCAGTATTAGCCTGAATGAGAAGGTCATAGAATAAATAATATTTTAAGATAGTTTCTCAGAGCGTCATATATTGGAACCAATCCAGACAGAAGGTTATATCAGACTATATTATATTATTGAGTGATGGGAACAGGATTAGTTAATCAGAGTAAAGACACATCCAGGCAGCAGCATGGTGGCTCAGTGGTTAGCATTGCTGCCTCACAGCGTCAGTGACCTGGGTTCAGTTGCATCCCTGGGTGACAGTCTGTGTGGAGTTTGCACATTCTCCCCATGTCTGCATGGTTTTCCTCTGTATGCTCTGTTTTCCTCCCACAGTCCAAAAATGTGAAAGTTAGGTGGATAAGCCACGGGAAATGCAGGTTTATGGGGATAGGGTAGGTAGGTGGGTCTGGATGGAATGCTTTTTGGAGGGCTGCTATAGACTCAATGGGCTGCATGACCTGCTTCCACACTGTAGGGATTCTATTCTAATATGCTTGAACTTTATACCCAGTTTGAAAGGGGGAAGAGTGAGTCTAAGACTGGCATTGCAAACTTAGGCAAGGGCAACAATGCGGTATGAAAGCTGAGCTGGATGAAGTAAACTGGCATGCTTAGCAAGGCTATAGCTAAGAAGAGACACAGCGGCAGCCATTTAAAAATACTCAAAATAATTATATTCCTATTATAAAGAAAAGTATCACTGAGACAACCACCATCCATGGTTAATTAAAGAAGTTAAGGAAAGAATCAAATGTAATTTTACAGAGATGACCTACAGGGTAGATGTTTGCCCAATAAAGTGAGTGTTGGTCCTGTAGAGGGTGAGAATAGGGAGTCAAAACTAAATAAGAAGGAAAGGTTTGATGAAATGAATAAATATTTAAAGTTCCTATGGAGGCCACAGAAACATTCCATAATAGCTGTGAATCATAAGGAGGCCAGAATAGAGGAACCTATCAAAGTTACAAACACAAGGGAAGTGGTACTAAGCAAACTGATAGAGCTGTGGGATCGTCCTTGAGTCCTGATGCACCTTCGTGCAGGGTTTTAAAAGAGGTTGTTAATGAGGTAGTAGATGTGTTGTGCTCATTTTCCAAAATTCTCTAGATTCAGGAAAGGTTCCATCAAACTAGAAAGTAGCAAATGTAACCTTTCTACTTAAGAAGGGAGGGAGGCAGAAAACGGGACATCATTAGCTTCACAAATGATGTGGGGAAAGTGCTAAAATTATCATTAAGAGGGTTGATCACTTAGAAAACTCAAAGTAATCAAGAAGAATCAGCATCATTTAGTATAAGGGAAATCATGTTTAAATAATTTATTGGAGTTCTTTAAAGGAGTATCAGGCACGCTGGATAAAGAGGAGACAATTAACCTACTGCACTTGGATTTGCAGAAGGCCTTTGACAAGGTACAACATACAAAGTTATTGTGCAAAGTATAAGCACATGGTGCTGGTGGTAATGTAGTATCATGGATGTAGATTGGTTGGCCAGCTAAAAACAATGCATGCATAACTGTGTCTTTTCTGATTAACAGGACATGACAAGTGAGGTTGGCCAGTGTCTGTGCTACAGCCTCAATTGTTTTACAATTCATATCGAGGACTTAGATGAGGGCAGTGAAGGTATGATAGTCAAATTTGTAGATGACACAAAGATAGGTACAAAAGTATGCTGTAAAGAGGACAATGGGTGTTGTAAGCAAATATAGACAGGTGGCCAAAAATATGGTGGATGGGGTATATAATGTGGGAAAATAGGAAATTGTTCACTTTAGCAGAAAACCATTTAAAAAGACCATTACCTAAATGGAAAATGATTGCAGAATTTCAAGGTGCAGAGGGATCTTGATGTTCTAGTACATGAACAACAAAAGGTCAGTGTTTAGGTAGAGAAAGTAATTAAGATAGCTAATGTCATCCTTTAGTATGAGAGGAATTGAGTATAAACACAAAATGTTATGCTTCATTTACCCAGATCTTATTTAACTGTTGTTAAGACCATCATTATTCTTTTCCTATCCTTCTGATACTTGGTTTGGAACAGTGAACTGAAGTTGAGAATCGAACTTTGAACTTTGAGCTACAGTTTGTTTTGGAAAGGAGAGCAAACACACAGGAACTGGCCTGGAATGATACACTGATGCTTGTTTATGGGAGCTGGTCTGGAATGATAACTGTATGTTAATTATTATTCTGAGAATACTGCAGTTGTTTTGGTACCAGAATATGTTACACCTAAGGACTGGTAGCTGGCTGGATGCTGAATTAAGGGAGATTGGTGCCAGCTACAGAGAATGTTGAAAAAAAAAGAGAAACCATAGACTGAACTGGTTTTGAGTGAATTTTGTTGGGCACAAGGCAATGTTAATTTGAAAACTTCTGGACCAGGAAGTCAAGTTTGAGTTTTACTCTCTAGTTTTATAGTCAGTTAAAGAATTGTTTAATGTTCAGAGAAAACAATCCCAGTTTGTAAAAAGTCAACTGAATATTCCTCAGAGCCTGCTGGAAGCTGCTTGTATTAACCAGTGACTTCAGAAATCAAGTAAGATACAATTCTTCGTTCTGAAGGATCATTCGACCCTAAATATTAACTCTGCTTTCTCTCTACAGATGCTGCCAAACCTGTTGAGTTTCTCCAGAAATTTCTGGGATTTTTTTGTTTCAGCTTTCCAGCATCCACCACTCTTTGTTTATTTTATTGACTTTTTTTTACAATTCTTTGTCTTTGGAATACTATGTATTGTTCAAGAATTCCATATATAATAAAAAAAACCTGGTACTCATCATTGAAATGGTTATTGGACTGACCAATTAGAACTTTTATTTTCTTTTAATTAACACTATAACTGTGTCTGTCTGTCCGTCTATGTGTGAGTGGGAGTTATGATCAAACAAGATTGGGATTAAATCACAGACCTTAATTAGGTTATCTTGTTTGCTCTGAAGTTATAATACTAATGATACAATATTAAGTTCTATTTGAGCAACAAACTTGGTGTCTGATATTTGTTATTGTTAAAGTCTGGTTAAGAACAACTGGGCAATTTTGAGGGCCATTGAATGTTTTCATTTCACTCTGCCGAAAATCTAGTGCTAGCAACTCTGATTTAGGCTGTGTCATAACACTGGAATAAATGGCTGGTCTTATGGGTAAAGTAGAGATAGACTGGACTTGTTTTCACCAGGGATTCAAACAGTAAGGATGATTTGATTGAAGTAGAGACGACCCTGTACAGTTTTGACAAGTTGGACATAGAAACGATGTTTCCAAATGTGGTGAGTCCAGACGTAGGGCCTACAGTTACAGCATTAGGTATCACCCTTTTAAGAGAGCGATAAAGAGAGCTAAAAGGGTGATCCCCAATGTCTTGATGCTGAAATGAACAACCTGCAAAAACTACAACCATTTACCTTTGTATTAGTTATTACTCCAACCTGTTGTGTCCTGTGCTGAGATGAAATATACCCAGGCATGAAAGTATTTGTGTCTGGGACTTTAGCTGTAAAGATGTCAGATTCAGTGAATATAACTGGGTTGTTGTTTGCTGTACCTCTGGGGCAGCTCTCCTAACTTAGGTACAAGCTCCAGAGTAAGGAAGGAGAAACTTGTAGAATTGGCAGTCAGTATGTGTGATTTTCACTTGCCCAGTGGAGGTCAATTCCGAATGGTCCAGAGGTTTAATGTCTTTTTGATGTTTCTCTCATACGTTGGTATTAATATGAGGTATCCCACCTCTTAGACTGCAGCACTTAACATACAAGGAATTGAATTGTAAGTCATTTTATAACATTAAGAAGATATAATGAATGATATATTTATTATTTAATAGAAGTAACTATATCTTGATAACATTTTAACAATGGATTATTTTGAGAAAAGCTGCCTGTTTACAAAGTAAAGCGTATTTAATCCTTAAAGTAGCAACATATATTTGATGTAAATCCTTGGGGGAATTAGAGGTTTAATGCTATTACTGAGTAAAGGCTGTAGCTGTAAAATTTAGCTTGTCGCCTTCAGGATGGGTCAGGTTGACAAAGGTCAGAAACAATCCTCAAGGCTTCCTTCGCTTTTTTTTAACATTAAAAGTGCCAATTCTCAATGAAAGATTCTTCATTTGTTCCGTTGTGATATGCTGCTGTTTGATCTATATGGCATTTGCACAATTCAAGGCTGAAGGAAGTTTGAGCAGAAAGGCTTTTACTCAAAACTATTCCCATACAAGGCATCCTTACCTTGCAAACCATCCACAGAGAATCATGAAAAAGTACAATTATATTGGTTTTGTTCCTAATCTCTATTTGTAAGGTTTTGGAGTAGATTTGTAGCTCGGGTTGAGGTTGTTGAGGTTGGGTGGCTCGCCGAGCTGGTTTGTTGTTCCGCAGACGTTTCGTTACCATGCTTGGTAACATCGTCAGTGCAGCCTCCGATGAAGCGTCGGTGTGTTTTCCCACCTGGTTTTTAAACTCTGGGGTCCGTTGAGCTGGAGTGCCTCACTTCCGGTTTTCCTTCGTAGTGGAGTGTATATGGGGTCGAGTTCTATGTGTTTATTGATGGCTTTCTTTGTGGAGTACCAGGCTTCTAGGAATTCTCGTGACTGTCTCTCCTTAGCTTATTCCAGGATTTTGGTGTTGCCCCAGTCGAATTGGTGGTTCTCATTATCCATGAGGATTGAGAAGAGTGAGTATTTTTCGTGTCTTTTTGTAGCCAGTTGGTGTTCGTGTACCCTTGTTGTTAGTTTCCTTCCTGTTTGTCCAATGTAGTGTTTCTCACAGTCTCTGCAGGGGATCTTATAGATGACATTGATCCTGTCCATGGCGGGGAGTGGGTCTTTAGTTCGGGTGAGCAGTGACATCAACCTACGACAACTGCTCAGTCCTGCAAGCCAGTTCAATAATTCAGTTAGTTGATGGCTAATCTGTACCTTCACTCCATTTACCAGGTTTTGCTCTATATTCCCTGCTTTAGTTAGCCAACAAAGAGCTAGCAAATTCAGTAAAAAAAATGATTGAAATTCCACAATCTTTTGAGGATGCAAGTTTCACATTTCAATTATTCTTTGAGTGATAAAGTACCTCCTGTAAAACCATATTCAATCATTGCTCAAGAGACAACAAGGTGCAAGGCTGGATGAACACAGCAGGCCAAGCAGCATCATAGGAGCAGAGAGGCTGACGTTTCGGGCCTAGACCCTTCATCAGAAAAGGGGGAGGGGAAGGGGGTTTTGAAATAAATAGGGAGAGAGTGGGAGGCGGATAGAAGAGGGATGGAGGAGAGGATAGGTGGAGAAGAAACAAACAGGTCGAAGAGGCGGGGATGGGGCCAGGAAAGGTGAGTGTAGGTAGGGAGTTAGGAAGGGGATAGGTCAGTCCAGGGAGGACGGACAGGTCAAGGGGGCGGGATGAGGTTGGTCGGTAGGAGATGGAGGTGCGGCTTGAGGTGGGAGGAGGGGATAGGTGGGAGGAAGAACAGGTTAGGGAGGCAGGGACGAGCTGGACTGGTTTTGGGATGCGGTGGGGGGAGGGGAGATCATTGCTCACTTTACCAGGTTCACTGAAGATGTACCAATTTTGTCAAATTGTTTTCACATGCAATTAAAGACAATAGGAGGAAGGAAGAAATCTATATTTGTGTAGCACCTTTCCTGAACCCAAAACCTCCCTATGCACTTAACCAATTGAATATCTTCAAAATTTTTGTTTTACTCAATTATGGGACATGGATATCACTGGCTGGCCAGCACTTATTGCCAGTCCCTAACTGCCATTGTGAAGGGGATGATGAGCTATCTTTTTGAATTGCAGCAGTCCATGTGCTTTAGGTTTGACCCAAAATGGCCTGAGGGAAGGAATTCCAGGATTTTGACCCAGCAACAGTGAAGTATTCGTGACACCACCAGACACATATTCCCCTCCCCTCCCTTGTCCGCCTTTCCTCCGGGACAACCTGGACCACTCTTCCTTCACCTCCAACACCTCCCATAGCCCCACGGCATCTTCCCCTGCACCCGGCAAAAGTGCAACACCTGCCCATTTACCTCTTCCCTCCCCAGTATCCAACGGCCCAAACATACTTTCCAGGTGAAGCAACACTTCACTTGCACTTCCCAGAATCTAATCTAATACATTCACTGCTCACAATGTGGTCTCCTCTACAATGGGGAAACGAAGTGCAGGCTGGGTGACCAATTCACAGAACATCTACCTTCTGCTCGCAGAAAAGATCCTGAGTGACCTGTTGCCTGCCACTTTAATGCACCACACTGCTCCCTGGCCAACGCCTCTGTCTCTGGAATGCTGCAGTGTTCCAGTGAAGCACAACACAAGCTGGAAGAACAACACTTCATTTTCCGCTTGGGGACCCTGCAGCCCTCTGGTCTCAATGTCGAGTTCAATAATTTTAGGGCTTAAACTCTCCCATGTCCTAGCCCCCTACTACACACACCAGGCCTTGTTATCACATAGCCTGCCATTACACACTACCAATTGTTAGTCTCTAACAGTCACCATTAACAGCTATTCACCCTCCCAGCCAGATCGTTATTAACACTGAGAATAACAAGGTGTAGAACTGGATGAACACAGCAGGCCACACAGCATCAGAGGAGCAGGAAAGCTGACGTTTC